TGCTGGGACAGGAGGAACAGTCCTCACATCCAGAGCTGTCCTGGAGACTTCATCCAGGACTCCCAGCCCGTTCAGCAGCCTGGTCTGCAACGGGTTGATCTGTCTGTCGCTGCTTGTTTTATAACACGTAAACTGTTAATCTGGGTGATTTCCTCACTACCGATGTGGTTTCGTTTCTGCATCAGGCGGCTTTATTCTGCTGGACGGAGAGACCTTCGAGATCAAGGGGAACTGGGAGAAAGGGGACAAGATCCCTCCAATGGGTTATGACTTCTGGTACCAGCCACGCCATAACGTCCTGATCAGCACTGAATGGGGAATCCCAAAATGCCTGGGATATGGGTTTGACCCAAATGATCTGAAGAAAGGTGAGAACACTGTTGTTTAAATACTTGGGGAGAGAGATGCTGAGCAGGACTGCAAGAAGGCCAAATTTCAACCCTCTTCTGTTGCTAGTGAGAGCTGGCATCTAATGGATGTAGATAAAATTGTCCAAGACAGTTTGCTTGCAAAATGAATTTCACACCAATTCCTAGAGATCCCATGGATTTAAAAAAGACAAGCCCAGCCCATTTACTGTAAAGACACTTCAGTTGCAAGCACCAGAAGTTCAACCCAAGACAGTCCATAAATTCTGCTGTTGAGCTGTACGTGGGGTTGGATTTCGGCTGTAGGGATGAAGGATGAAGCTCCATCTCAGCCCAGCTCCTCCAAAAAGGTTACACTGCCCTTCCCAGCCCCGTCCTAGCGAGATGGTCCCTGTTGGATGCTGGGCACCTTCCCGTGGCTTTTGCCAAGGTCCAAAGCAACCGGCGTGTGCTGGTGCAGATACCATGGGGTTGTCCCTGCGGGGAGCTAAAGGGGCTGAGGACTCACCTGAACCCACAGCACATCTCCTTGAGACCCTGCACCTCGCAGCATCCCCTCTAACTCTCCCTCCCAGGGCGCTACGGACGCTGCATCAACGTGTGGGACTGGACCACTCACACCTACGTCCAGGCTATTGACGTGGGTGAGGACGCGGCCCCCCTGGAGATCCGCTTCCTCCACAACCCCGCCGCTGCCGAGGGCTACGTGGGCTGCACCATCAGCAGCGCCATCCACCGCTTCTACAAGACCGAGGTACGTGCTCCCCCAGGGTTAGTGGAAAAGGGGTGCTGCCCCTTGGTTGACTGAGCCCCACGACTCTGCGCAGCATCCCGCTTCCCACATCCCCCGCCGTCCTCCCAGCCCGACTCCGGTCCCTGCCGATGCACGCACCCGCCTCCCCGTGCTGTGCAGCCACCTCTCTGCACCCAGAACATGAGCTGGCTGGGGGTAATCTCACCAGAGGACTTGTTCTGACTGGCAGCAGTTTAGGCTGAAATGATTTAATTTAAAGGAGATTTATTTTTACCTTTGTTGTGGATTTACAACAGCCTCAGCAATATTCTTCTCAGTGTCTGTTGTTGTGCGTAATGACGAACTGGGTGAGGAGAGAGAACATCTTTCACCAAACCAGCTAATCTAGCTGGAAAATTAGACATCTCTGCAAAGCCAGAGATGGCTGGCAAAGTAGCTGAGCTACAGCCCTCGAGACTAGAGGTGGTGGACGCATGCACGCAGTATCTGCCCCGGCATTGGGTCTTATCCTGCCTCTGCCACGCACGCTGAGCCCCCCGGGGCTGTGCTCTGTCCCACACCTCCTGCAGCAAGGAGACTGGGCGGCCGAGAAGGTGATCCAAGTCCCCAGCAAGAAGGTGGAGGGATGGCTCCTCCCGGACATGCCAGGTCAGTGCACCCCCAGGCTGGGTGCTGAGGTGCTCCCCGGCTTCCCCGGGCGCTGCCAGTGCTGCCGCCTGTTTGTGCAGCTCTGTCGTACCCTCCCCAAGGCTTCATCACCGACATCCTCATCTCGCTGGACGACAGGTTCCTCTACTTCAGCAACTGGCTGCACGGAGACATTCGCCAGTACGACATCTCCGACACCCGCAAGCCCAAGCTGGTGGGGCAGGTGAGGCAGCAGCAGGCTCCCGGTCACATCCCGATGCTTTTCCTCTATCTCTTGGGTACAGCTGGGATCAGCCCCATCCTCGCTGTCTCGGTCACCCAGACCTTTGGTCTCTTGCAGGTCTTTGTGGGTGGCAGCATCACCAAGGGAGGACCTGTGACCGTGTGCAGGGACGAAGAGCTGCAGAGCCAGCCAGACCCATTTTTCATCAAGGTGAGCTCGGCCGGCTCCCCAAAATCCCACGGCATCGCCCCCACCATCTGCTCGGTCCCACCTCCGCCTTGAACGATGCTGGGGGGGGGTGGATGGTGACGGCTCTGCCACGGAGCATGCTGGGCAGCGGTGGCAAGGCTGGGGAGCTGGGTCCTTGCGGTTCTGCTCCACCGCATCCCGTGGGATGGACACGGCAGCCTGCACCGCCGGTCTGGGTGAGGTGGAGGAGTCCCCCGGTCCGGCACCCTCCAGCAGCACGTCTGCTCCTCCGCCCGCTCCCAGGGGAAGAAGGTGCCGGGGGGGCCCCAGATGATCCAGCTCAGCTTGGACGGGAAGAGGCTGTATGTCACCACGTCCCTCTACAGTGCCTGGGACAGGCAGTTCTACCCCGACCTCATCAAGTAAGAAAACTTCGATAAGTGAGAATGATTGTATGAGCTCGTCAGGCGGGAGGCACGGACCCCGCAGCTCGGGGACCGAATTTTGGCAGCTCCTTGGAGGCAGGGGCGGGTCCTCCCCCACAGGGCGGTTGGGGCATCTGGCTCCCCCCAGCCTCCCTGCTCTCACCCCTCCGCAGGGACGGCTCCGTCATGCTGCAGCTGGACGTGGACACGGAGCAGGGCGGCCTGACAGTCAACGAGAGCTTCCTGGTGGATTTTGGGAAGGAGCCCGACGGGCCCTGCCTGGCGCACGAGATCCGCTACCCCGGTGGGGACTGCACCTCCGATATTTGGGTTTAGCCACCTTCTGCCGCCCCCAAAGCCTCTCCACGCCCCAAAATCCCACTGCACAAGGTCTTCTGG